TGTTTACTCAGAAGAAAAATCCCTGAGTGCGAGTGAGGCCATGGAAGGAACCAAGTGTGAGCCCAACTGGAGAAAGAAGATGGGACTGGCTCTACTCAGCAGCTCTCGCTCAGGCCCGCTCGGCTCCCCGAAGAGGCCTCTAACTACCACCCGAAGCGAGAGCCTCGAGAGGTTTCCAGGGAAACCAGTGCAGCTGTCTGGGGAGATGCAGGGAGCTGATGAGACAGAGGCAGCCCTGAAGGGAAATCTTACACTCCCGTGGCCCCCTCAAACCGTGTGTTCCCACGGGTAGCACACATGTGGGAGCTGGGAACAGACAGGCGATTTGGCCTAAGGGTTTTGACAAAGGCTGCTGCCAAGCTGGTTGATTTGAATCATGCCGGTTGTTTGGTGGGATGGCCACAAGAGGTCTGATGCTGGCTGGGGGCCGAACACCCTTCCCAGGAGAAGCCTCAACAAAGAAAGGGAACCAGACCCTTGCCAGGGTGGGGCCTGCAGATGCTAGAATGTACTGGGTGAGAAAAGGCAGAGAAAGCTGCCACCTGCAGCCAAGCAGAAGGAAGGAGGGAAGGCTGTGCCCCCAGGGCCAGGTGGCCTCCACATTGAAGGAACTGAAGTCCTGGAGAAGGGACATGCACTGTACTTAGGGCCCCCTGGTTCCCTGCACCACCCACTTTCAGAGGCAAACTTGGCAGCCTGCAGGGTGGACAAGGAAAGTAAACAGGGAGGAGGCCACAGCAGGCACTGGCAGGCCCACAGAGGAAAGCAATAGGCCTGGGCCTATTCCCTGGAGTTGTCACTGCTTAGGGTCCAAGCTGTGGTGACATTGGGGATTGGTTCGGGGGAAGCTAAGGAACACGGAAAGTTCAGAATTCTTAGGACCCAAATTTCTACCCATGCTGAAATCCCTATTCCATTCCCATCTCCCACATCCTAACAAATCACATCCCATAATAAACACAGGGCAGGACAGGCAGCTTTGGGAAAGCCTTATCTTCTTTGACATGACTTGGCGCCACACTTGAGACTCCCCAGGAGGTACCCCCACACCACCCAAGGCCCAGGATGCTCTGAGTATCAAGGGGCTACTACATTTCACACAGAGACACAAAAACCCACCTCCCCACTGGAGGGTCATAAAGCCCTATACAGGGGGGTGCAGCTGCCACAGTGGGCACTCCAGGGCACAGCTTCTCAAACTGCCTGCCATGAGGGGCCAGCTGGGTTTACACCACCAGATGGCCCAGTCCATCTCAACTGATACACTGAAAATGAACCACATAATGGACAGCATGGTGACTATTGCTAACAACACTGTATGGAATACTTGAAGTAGATCTTAAGTTCTCATAACCAGAGAAAAAAAAATGTGTAGTTCTGTGTGGTGATGGGTGTTAACTAAACTTCCTGTGGGAATCATCTTGCAATATATAAATATATCAAATCATCTTGTTGTATGTTAATTATAGCTCAGTTAAAAAGAACCTCTAAGAAGATCATCGCCACTTGGATATCACAGAATGCCAAATGGCTATATACATCTCTGACTGCTTACTCGCATCTTCCAAGCTAACCTTGCTGCAAACACCAGTCATGGCGCATCTGCATGCTGTCCACTCTAAGTAGCTGTGCTCTAGTCTAGCAGCTCTGTCCCAGGGAGATCTCTGCGGTGACAGAAATGTCTGTAACCATGAGCACTTGAAATGCTCTAGTGAGACTAGGAGCTGAATTTTTAATTGTATTACATATTAATTAACTTAAATTTTAAATAAAATAGCCACAAGTGGCTTGTGGCTGCCAAATTGGTTGTGCAGATGTAGAGTGATTACTGAGTGAGAACACAGACAAACCGCCATGTAAATGCCAGGCTCTCCGCACAGGCAGACTCCAGACCGAACACAGAGAGAAGGAAGGCAGGAATATTCCCAAGCCCATCTTCCCTTTGACTCAAACATTAGGCCTTCCACTGGCGGGTATCAAGGCTCAACCACTCACACAGATGTGGACACACACTTGTCGTTGGAGCGGCCTAACCACTGGTGAAGAAGACAAACCAGGGCTCCCCTGCTGGAGCCAACCCCCTTCCTGACACAGGTGGAGGTAAGCCACCACCACCTGTACCCCAGCTGCTCAAGGGAAGCCCTGTTCTCCCACGAACAGCCCCAGGCAGAGGCCCTACCTGCCCCAGCCTCTCACACAGCTGGGCGGAGAGCTGGAACTCCTTGGCGTAGCTCAGACACTTAAGGGACAGTTGCGGCTCATTGCACTCCAAATAGGTCTTAGCCAGTTCCAAGTACTGCACCTGCTTTTCCCTGGGAGGAGGGAAGAAAACAGACTTTCGTGGATTGTTGGCCACACACCAATGCACATAAGCTGCCGATTTCATTGGATGATGCCAGAGACTCTTACTTGGGGCTGACTTTCTTCGATTTCATGTTCAGGGCAGTGTTGTGGGCCAATGCCAGTTTCTCCTTCTCAAATGCACCTCCTTTTTGGTAACACTTGGCTGCAACCTGGAATAGACAAAAGGTTTCCATCCCAGCAAGGTGATGGAGGTGACGTGCGTTCTGTGTCTGCACTGACAAAGGGTGGAGTCTAAGGCCAGCCCAGTTGTAGAAGGGGGAACAGGAAGGTGCTGGTAAGCTGGAGGAAATGGCTCCAGAGGATAATGCCCAACAGGATTGCCAGCTAACACTTCACACTCCAAGGTTCCTTTTGGAAGCACCCAGAAGCAACAGAAAAGGCAAATACAGCTCCCCCCTACTTGAAAGTTTGTGTGATGTCACTCAGCTTTTAGGAAAGACCTATGTTAGTCCCTGTTTCCCTAACTAAAAGAAATCCAGAGAGGATTTTCACTTTCATGAAGGAAGGAGAGAAGTGAGAATAGAGCTCAGCGTCTGCTCTGCAGCAGCCCTTACAAAAGCAGCGGCCACCCCGAGCCTCAAGGGCTCCCCCCCCCCATGCTCTCCTGGGAACCACACTCAGCAGCTCAGCATCAAGATGCTCCAACTGTATCTATGAGCCTCTGGGCTTTATCTCGACTTATTTTGTGCATCTGATAGCAAGATGCATCCTAAGATATCCAAATGGCGAAGGAAGGTTATTTTGGGGCTCTGGGAATGCTCAAAACTTTTTTCCATATAAATTAAGGGTAATTGCTTCTTCACTTTACACCATTTTGGCTTACAGAAGGTTTTGTAGAATATTGCTTTCAGATAGCAGGGGAACCTTACATATTTTTACAGGTCACCATAGTAATGACCTCTTTTCATCTTTCAACAGCCACATGTGAGAGCTTTCCTCTCTCTCGCTGTACGCAGCAGCGACCTTAGGCCAAGACCTGCAGCAATTGGCTCGAAGTCACCTGGGGACTTTTCTTTAGTTAGTGACTAAACCACTAACTGGCCATGTTGCTGGAGCACCTACTGAGGGTAGAAATGGGGTAGAGATGGTACCAACACATTCCAAAGATGACTGACCAGACCCGTGGCCACGCAGATCTGTGTCAGCCAAATAACAAGAGGGCAGACAAGTATCACGGAGAGCTGCCTGCACCCTCATGCCTGCCAGCGGAGGTCTGCTTTTCTAAAGCCAGAATGCTAACACGGTGCTTCAAAGCACAGGCTACTGGGCAAAAGTTCACATGCACTCCAGCTTGTAAAGATTAGGTCTCATTGTGGGCAAGGGAAGGACTCAGTGGCAATTGCTGAAAAGTGGACAGGACAGCATCTCCCCCCTCAGGCTCTTTGCTCCAGCCTCCCCAAGTCCCATTGGCCTCCTTTCATTCCCATGACCTCTGCCACACTCCTTCCCACCACAAAGGCTTCGTACACACTGTTCCCTCTGACTGAAATGCTCTTCCAGCCCTTCTCTGCCTGGTTAATTTCATTCATCCTATAGATCTCAGCTCAAGGCTCCCACTCAAAGCAGTCTCCCAGGCCAGGCCTGGCAATTCTGGGAGCAGCTGGTCTGTGACATTGTCCGCAGCTGGAACCACACACTTCTTTAGGCTGTCTCATTCACCATCATCTCCCCAAGACCCAAACACAATGCTTGGCCCATAACTCAACAGGAATTTGCTGAATGATTGAGTCTCAGGCAGTTTCCATTTGTATGGTGGTTCTAAACCATGCACAGATAGGCAGCCAGAGCTCAGTGACCACTGGAGTCCGGGAGCCCTCCCACAGAGTCAGAGCAAGTCAGGCAGAGAGGCTTTTAATAACACTCTCACCTGCGCCAGCTCCCCTGAGATTTTAGACTCGAGCATATTCCAAGGGCACTTTTAAAGGGAAGAAGCTTAGGAAAGCCAAGGGCAACATGTATGGGTAACACCAACAGTGTTCTGATGGAAAAGGGGGAGACCTTATACAGTTTCCCAGTTTCATATCCATGCCTGCTGCCCATTTATCCCCTTCTTCCCTCCCCACTCCTCTCCAAACACAGAACCCTTGGTTTTACAACAGCCAAGTGTTCAGTATTTATTTCCAATTGTAGCAAGGACAGGCAAGGAATAAAGTTGTGAGGCTCTGTCAGCTAAATGCTCCAAAGTTACAGACCCGATTTCCAGACACACCCCAACACAAAGCCATGCAAATTGTTTTCTCACCCCTTACAATGGATGGCAAGGGTGGCCACAGTACTTTACCCCTGCCTGTATCTGTCCACTCCCCTTTACAGTATATTCTGTGGCTTCTCCCACCGACAGTGCTGCCCCTCTCCCCTCCTTCAGATCTGAGCTATGACTTGCTTAGGCCAACAGAATGCAACAGAATTAACTCTAGGCCAGCTTGAGGCCTCAGGTGCTTGTGCCACGCTTTGATCCTGCTCAGGCATCCTGCAAACAGGCCCAGGCCACCTGCTAGAGTATGAAGGACATGTGATTCATACAAGAAACGCTTGTACCCCACCATCCAAGCCAAGAGGCAGCCAGGAGGCAACCTAAAAGTAGACTCGGCAGCTGAGTTCAGACCAGAAGAAGCACTACACTGAACTCTCCTCCCTTTCTGGCCTGATGGCAGAACTGGCCTCCCAGGAGGGGCTGAAACTGCCAGGTGGGACTGTTCTGTCTGACTCCCTGCAGCCAGGCATGGGCATGCGACCTAGCACTGACCAGTGAGGTGCAGGAAGTCCACTGGGGATGTCATGATAAAGAAAGGCCCATGAGAAGAAAGTGCCTGTACTTCATTCCTGCCTGGGAGCGCTGCTGCTGAGGGAATGGGGGCCTGGTGCTGCTGCAGCTGTTATGCAGCCATGAGGGGACACCTCCCACTAGCTGCAGATGGCACAGCAGAGACGGGATGAGATGCCTGTGCCGACTTTGGTGAGCTAAAGGCATTTGTGACCTTCAGGTGAAGACATTACCCCTGCATCATGGGAAACCCACACGCCACACTGCCTCACCCAAGGCCTCCAGACGTGGGGGGATGATCACTAGGGGAGGCATGGAGCTCTTCAGGTGACTTCACTATTTTGAGAGGACTGACAATTATCACTCCCAGAAGGAGACTCCTCAGGCTCCAGAGGGCTTGTGGCTGGACATCAGTCAGTCCACTCGGTCTGGAGGAAAAGCTTAACCCTGCTCATCAGAGTCAGACAGGCAGGCAAGTCCATGTCTGATCAACTTGGAAAACAAACAAGGGGACCAATCTGTTACTATTTTAAAATGCAGTATGAGGACAGCAAAAGCTTTTAAGCTTTCAGCACAGCAGGGGAAGAAAAGAAACAGGGGGATGCCTTGGTGGGGCAGAGGCCGGGCCCTCTGTGTTCCTACCAACAGGGACACGTGGGCTGTAGGCCAAAATGAGGGGCTGTCCCACTTGCACTGGGCAAGGGGCAGGATGGGGAGCTGTCCCCATCAAGGGTGACCTAAAGTTTCTGAAGCAGTGGCACAAACACCACGACTCTCACCCTAACCCTACGACAAGTGCCGTGGTGGGAGACCTGCCCGGCAGGTGGGAGGAGACCACGGCCTCCGAGGGCCTCAGCCCCGCTCCGGGTCCAGACCTCACCTTCCAGCACTGGTGCTTGGCGTAGTATTCCCCTTGAGCAATCCACTCCTCAGGGGTTGAGGTCTTCACAAACATGCTGTCGTCAAACTCTAAAATGAGAAAGAGAAGTGGGCTTGCCTGCCTCTCCAGGCATTCATTCGCTTAAACCTGCGGCCATGGGCTGCATTTCACACCCCCTCCTCCATGAAAATGCATGTGTTGAAGCCCTCACTCCAGTGCTTCAGAAGGTGACATACTCAGGGATGGGGCCTTTGAAGAGGAGATTAAGTTAATATGAGGCTGTTAGGGCCTAATCCAAGCCGACTGGTGTCCTTATAAGAAGAGATCAACACACACACAGAGACATCAGGGGCTGGCACAGAGGACAGGCATCCACAAGCCAAGGAGAGAGGCCTCAGGAGAAACAACTCTGCTGACACGTGACCTTGGACTCCTTGCCTCCGGAACTAGGGGGAGTATTTCTGTTGTGTGAACCACTCAGTCTGTGTTTTATTGTGGAAGCCCTAGCATATGGATACACCTGTGTTGTCTTTCCATATTCATTTCAGACAGATGTTAGCCAGGCTGTGGTGGGCTTTGGAAGAAGGAGAGCCTTAGACTTCGGTCCACTTTCCCTCCTATGACCGTGAATTAGAAGACAGAGAGCAAGTAATTCCTCCTTGAAAATCCAAAGCCATGTAGCTCTCAGCAAACTCTCATCCAGGGGTTTTAGCAAGAAAGGCAGTAGGGTTTTACAAAATTTTACAGTACTTCCTAAAGTACAGACTATGCCCTCCTCACAGTCAGCTGTCAGCACGCTGCCATCGGCGGACATAGTACTGCAGTCCTGCTGTTGGTCCCTTCTGTTACCCACCTAGCCTGCTGGGGGCTGCCACCCCCTGCCGCGGCCCCCTGAGCACCACCAGCAGTGGGCAACACTTTGGCGGTTCTCAGCCACAGCTCCACAAAGCACAGGAAAGACAGCAAATACCAGGATGATGCTGCCGCCCAATCTCTGCTGCAGGGATCAGAGACACCCAGGCCAGTGGATAGCAACTGGGGCAGCAAGGCAGGCAGGCCAGCTGTGTTGATAGGGCACAAAACATACATTAAGCCTTGCAGGCTGACCCTGCCTTGCCGGACATCTGCCATGCCCTGCAACGCTGTGTGCGAAGCAAAGGGGACTCTGTGTCATCTTGCTTGGACTCCATGTGCACTGTTTGTGCTCTGTGACATTTTATTCCCACAGCAAAGCCCCACAGAATCTCTGCATAGGGCCATGCACTTTGCCCACTCCATGTGGAAGAACCCCGAATTGAATGGCCACCATGCCCATCTCGAGCTCCCTTGTACAGTGGGTCCAAATGTTCCTACAGACTTCCCATGTGCAACTTACACTATTAAGACTGTACTTTTCATTGTTTTCTGAATGCTACCAAGATATAAAATAAACTGACATCTTTTTTTCCCCTTGAATTTTAAATTAGAGAAAATGACTTGTCTTGATGATCCCTTATAATGGGTCCCAGAATATATTTGGAGAATAAAAGGACTGTGAGCTGCAAGGCAGATCAGGAACGACCGTGGTGGGCAGGCCAAGCCATTCGCTTCCCTTTTAGTTGAGGAGGTGCAGGCGCAGGGAGAGAAGGTGACCTGCCAAGGTCATGGCCACACAGGTGGAGAGCCCTTAATGAGAAACCAGTTCTTAACGCCATGACTGACTCTCATTACACCACAACAGTCAAGACCCAGGAACAGAACACCTAGTCCCAGTCCCCAGCAGAGCTGCTGGCTGTGACCAGAAATAGCCTCCATAAAGTTGGCTGCAAAGCGCTCAGGAATCCAGCAGCCCTCTGTGCAGCAGCCAAGCCCAGCCCCATCACCTCTCCTTAGAGAAATTAACCGTGGCCTGGGGAGCCAGTCGAGCAGCCAACCTACAAGCGAGACAGCAATTTTCTTCTTTCGGAAGGGCTATTTCTCTCCTAGTTATCCTACCAGGAGATCTCCGCTCCATTTTTTTAAATTAGCTAGCCCTTGTAAACTATGAAAACAATACATGATAATGGTTTGGGGTTTTTTAAAACATTTCAAACATCACAGAAAAGTATAAAAGTAAACAGCAAAAGCTGTCATATCTACTCAACCACCCCACCCTACCAGAGAAGCCACTGGAACCAGAGAAGCCACTACAGTTTTACATTGGTGGGGCATCTAAGGAGGTGTTTTTAGTCTCTTATAATTACCAAGAGGCCTGTGTCGAGCACTTTTGTACATGGACCTTTGAGATTTTATGCAAGAATATCTCTAGGATGAATTCCTAGAAGTGGAATTACTGGGTCAAAGATATGTGCATTCTTTATGTGAACAGATATTGTCAATCAGCTGTGCAAAGCCCATAATAATTTGTGTTCTCCCAACAGAGCCTATTTCCTCTAATTCTTGCCCATGACCCCACTTTGAAAGAACAAATAAGACATCTTCCCAGAAGGAGTCAGCCTGCTCAATCCCATTACAACCACACTCGCCCACACACTTTGGCAATAAATGCAAACTCTCATTCTTCAGAAGATTGTGAAAAGAAAATGTTGCAAAAAACTATCCCCTTTACACCATAAGAACAGTTGCTTTTCTATACAACAGCCAGGCTACGTTAATGAGATCCTACCTTTATTTTCATCTGTCTTCACAACCTGGACAAGACTGCTTCTGATGAAATATTTGAAAGCAGGAGCCCGCCTCTCCGGGTTTTCATCAAAGATCCAGAGGTTAACCCGAGCCCGGGTGATGGCCGTATACAGCTGCTTCAGCTCTCCGTTGAGGAGCTAAGATGGGATTAAGCACATAGGCTTCTAACTAGAACTATGATATGACACGTTTCAGTGGCCTCCCCCGATTTTGGAGGAATAAAGAAAGTAAGTTTTAGAGAAGGACAGCACAGATGTGAGCAGGACTCGAGGAACTCACTGCAGCCAGGACACAAGTAGGCGAAGCTCTAGCAAGCAAGTATCTTTGACAGAACCTTTAACTTTCCCCCAACTGCCTAAGAGAATTTAAATACTCCAGGAAGGGAGCCATTACCACATATAACACAGTGTAAGATGCTCCAGGGGTGGTGGACAGGCAGGAGCTCTGCAAAGCCTGTTAAACCTCTCCCTGCTCCCTTGCTTCCGTGTGCCCCGCAAATGTCCGTTTACCTAACATTGACAGGCACACCTCATCCTTTGCGCTCTGCTTTACTGTGCCTCACAGATACTGTGTTTTCACAAATTGGAGGTTTGTGGAGGCCCTGCATCCAGCAAGTCTGTTGGCACCATTGTTCCAACAGCATCTTCTCATTTCATGTCTCTGTGTCACATGTTGGGAATTCTTGCAATATTTCAAACTTTTTCATTATTAGTGCATTTGTTATATTTGTAGTCTGTAAGCAGTGATTACAGCTGGCTGAAAGCTCAGATGATGGTTAGCCCTTTCTAGCAGTATTTTTTAATTAAGGCATGTACTTTGGTTTTCTTAGACATGGTGCTATGCACATGTAATAGCCTATAGCATAGTGTAAATGTAACTTCTACGTGCACTGGAAGCCAAAATTCAATTGACTTGCTCTATTGCACTATTTGCTTTATTGTGGTGGGCTATACTGACATCTTTTTTTCCCCTTGAATTTTAAATTAGAGAAAATGACTTGTCTTGATGATCCCTTATAATGGGTCCCAGAATATATTTGGAGAATAAAAGGACTGTGAGCTGCAAGGCAGATCAGGAACGACCGTGGTGGGCAGGCCAAGCCATTCGCTTCCCTTTTAGTTGAGGAGGTGCAGGCGCAGGGAGAGAAGGTGACCTGCCAAGGTCATGGCCACACAGGTGGAGAGCCCTTAATGAGAAACCAGTTCTTAACGCCATGACTGACTCTCATTACACCACAACAGTCAAGACCCAGGAACAGAACACCTAGTCCCAGTCCCCAGCAGAGCTGCTGGCTGTGACCAGAAATAGCCTCCATAAAGTTGGCTGCAAAGCGCTCAGGAATCCAGCAGCCCTCTGTGCAGCAGCCAAGCCCAGCCCCATCACCTCTCCTTAGAGAAATTAACCGTGGCCTGGGGAGCCAGTCGAGCAGCCAACCTACAAGCGAGACAGCAATTTTCTTCTTTCGGAAGGGCTATTTCTCTCCTAGTTATCCTACCAGGAGATCTCCGCTCCATTTTTTTAAATTAGCTAGCCCTTGTAAACTATGAAAACAATACATGATAATGGTTTGGGGTTTTTTAAAACATTTCAAACATCACAGAAAAGTATAAAAGTAAACAGCAAAAGCTGTCATATCTACTCAACCACCCCACCCTACCAGAGAAGCCACTGGAACCAGAGAAGCCACTACAGTTTTACATTGGTGGGGCATCTAAGGAGGTGTTTTTAGTCTCTTATAATTACCAAGAGGCCTGTGTCGAGCACTTTTGTACATGGACCTTTGAGATTTTATGCAAGAATATCTCTAGGATGAATTCCTAGAAGTGGAATTACTGGGTCAAAGATATGTGCATTCTTTATGTGAACAGATATTGTCAATCAGCTGTGCAAAGCCCATAATAATTTGTGTTCTCCCAACAGAGCCTATTTCCTCTAATTCTTGCCCATGACCCCACTTTGAAAGAACAAATAAGACATCTTCCCAGAAGGAGTCAGCCTGCTCAATCCCATTACAACCACACTCGCCCACACACTTTGGCAATAAATGCAAACTCTCATTCTTCAGAAGATTGTGAAAAGAAAATGTTGCAAAAAACTATCCCCTTTACACCATAAGAACAGTTGCTTTTCTATACAACAGCCAGGCTACGTTAATGAGATCCTACCTTTATTTTCATCTGTCTTCACAACCTGGACAAGACTGCTTCTGATGAAATATTTGAAAGCAGGAGCCCGCCTCTCCGGGTTTTCATCAAAGATCCAGAGGTTAACCCGAGCCCGGGTGATGGCCGTATACAGCTGCTTCAGCTCTCCGTTGAGGAGCTAAGATGGGATTAAGCACATAGGCTTCTAACTAGAACTATGATATGACACGTTTCAGTGGCCTCCCCCGATTTTGGAGGAATAAAGAAAGTAAGTTTTAGAGAAGGACAGCACAGATGTGAGCAGGACTCGAGGAACTCACTGCAGCCAGGACACAAGTAGGCGAAGCTCTAGCAAGCAAGTATCTTTGACAGAACCTTTAACTTTCCCCCAACTGCCTAAGAGAATTTAAATACTCCAGGAAGGGAGCCATTACCACATATAACACAGTGTAAGATGCTCCAGGGGTGGTGGACAGGCAGGAGCTCTGCAAAGCCTGTTAAACCTCTCCCTGCTCCCTTGCTTCCGTGTGCCCCGCAAATGTCCGTTTACCTAACATTGACAGGCACACCTCATCCTTTGCGCTCTGCTTTACTGTGCCTCACAGATACTGTGTTTTCACAAATTGGAGGTTTGTGGAGGCCCTGCATCCAGCAAGTCTGTTGGCACCATTGTTCCAACAGCATCTTCTCATTTCATGTCTCTGTGTCACATGTTGGGAATTCTTGCAATATTTCAAACTTTTTCATTATTAGTGCATTTGTTATATTTGTAGTCTGTAAGCAGTGATTACAGCTGGCTGAAAGCTCAGATGATGGTTAGCCCTTTCTAGCAGTATTTTTTAATTAAGGCATGTACTTTGGTTTTCTTAGACATGGTGCTATGCACATGTAATAGCCTATAGCATAGTGTAAATGTAACTTCTACGTGCACTGGAAGCCAAAATTCAATTGACTTGCTCTATTGCACTATTTGCTTTATTGTGGTGGGCTAGAGCCAAACCCGTATTTCCAGGGTGTGCTTATGCTCTTCCTCATTGTCTTGTGAGTTACTTTCCTTCCCTTGGAAGTTCCAGAGCCCCACCCCCTCCTAGGTTCTGGATACATTTACACCTCCTCACTCTGCCTGTGTTTGGATCTCTCATGCTTACATGGATTCCTTCAACATACATAACTGTTATTTTCTCCTGTTAATCTGCTTCACATCAATATAATTCTTAGACCAGCCAAAAGCACCTTGAAGGGCAGAGGGAAATCCTTCCTCTCCAACATAGCCAAGGTTGGTACACCATAATCTCCACTAACTATAGTCCTGGACATCCCTTCTGAGCTCCCTGTCTGCAACATAGACAGAACTGGGTTCCAGGGGGTAAAGAGAAGGTACACCTTCCTCTTCTACTTTCAGACAGTGCCCCCTGCCCCTGTCATGCCTAGATGTCTTCCAGAAAAGGTGGGGGGTGCCAACACTGAGATCCCAGCAGCTCCCTTTCCCACCCTCTACTCCCCAGCATTCATGTACAGAAGCTAGCCAGGTCCAAGGCTCCTTTAACCCACCTTCTCGCCCAAGCCTTGTTTACTGGCTCCCTATCAAATGGACAAATGACAGAAATCACCTTGTACATTTCTGGATTCACCGTGAGAGGCCGACCCTGGGAGGAGCTGGGTTTCTCCAGAGGCACTTCAATCAGTGGCCCATTTTCCTCTCTGGAGTCAGGTAGTGAAGGTGTAAATGAGGAGATGATCTTCCATTCCTTGTAAGCCTGAATGACAATGACAAATTAGAGACATAGGGGTATGCTTCTGGACTATGCATACTGCCTCCCGGGCCTCATGGAGAACTGAGTCCTAGCCCTCCTTTCCTGGCATAGGGGCCAGGCTGTCAACCCCAGCTGTGAGGAGGAGACTCAGGCTGTGAGGCAGGGATCAGCACAGCAGCTGTGAAAACTCCCCCAGCTCTCGGCCAAGCCAGCTGAGAAGTCAGGCACCTGGGCCCACTTCCGGGAGGAACGCGAAGGGCCCAGGAAGTTCTTGTTGAAGAATCTCAGCAAGCAGTGGGGAGAGAGGAACCCAGCTTCCCCACCCCTTTCCATGGCCTGTTTAAGAGATGCCACTTCAGGTCAGCCATTAAGACACATGGGACCAAGCTTCTAAGTAAATTATTCAGCCAAGAATGGAATAAATTCAGGCGCTGTGGTTCAAGGTAGACTGTTCAAGGTAGACTCAGGTCAGACAGAACAAACGTACACCTCAGGGCTTTCACGTAGTGGCTGTGACCTCGGACAGCTTGTTTTGTCTCTTCTACGTGTCACTTCCCTGCTCTGTAAAATGGGAATGATAGAACTACCCAGGTTTGCTGGGAAAATAAAAAATGATCAACATCAAGTGTCTAATACAATGCTTGATAAACAGTTGATATTTTAACTATTTTTTCCCTTTACTTAAACTCAAACCACAAAAACACAGTGACTGTGCAGACCAGGGATGGAAACCATATTTCTCTAAAGGGCAGGGTAATAAATATTTCGGGCTTTGTGGGCGAACCGGCCTCACATCTACTCAACTCTGTTATTGTAGTATGAGAGCAGTCATAGTTAATATGTAAATGGCCTGGTTGCAATAAAACCTTATTTTTCAGCACGAAACTGAATTTAATATAATATTCATGTGCCACATATTATTATTTTCCTTTTGAATTTTTAAAATCACTTAAAAATGTAAAAACTAGGGGGATTCGGATTAAAGATGGTGGCGTGAGAGGAGAGACAGAGGCTTCCTCCTAAAACTGGATACAATTAGAAAATTTAATTGGTGCAACTAATCCTGAGAGAGCAACAGAAAAGAGGACGCATCAGACCACACACACCTGGAGAAAAGAG